TCGTGTGAAGAGCGAGGGAAACAAACCTGCAGAGCACACGACTCTTCTGACACAGAGAGGTGTAGGACTCATCGTCCTGAACAATCAAACAGCAGCTTTGTTGGAGTCGCGTGTTCTCCCGGGATCACGCCCACACACGGATCTCTGAGGTTTCAAGTCCTGCGAGCTGGATTCATAGCAGGTTATGATGCTGAGTGTGACTGACAGCTGGACGCGCCGCGATGGGTCCTGATGTTTGAACACACAAACAGCTGTAAGTGCGTCGGGATGCAGGACATCCTGTGAACGTGAGGCGAGCTCGTTAAACCAGCGAGTTTACAGTCGAGTTTCCCACAGGTGAGCCCGACGCGCCTTACATCGATCAGTGAGGGCCGTTAGACATCTGTGATCCCCGCGGCGCTCGCAGCAGACTGCCGCCGCCTCAGCCCTGACTGCCCCTCCTGTGAGGTGATGTCACCGAGTGCCCCAAGTCAGCAGGCTCGCAGCCGTCGATCCTCGATCGCTGCTGTTACGCCGTCAAGGCTTAAAGGTGAAGGTGTCCGTGGTCCGGCCATCAGGACCGTGACCTTTGACCCACCTAACGCTCACAGAATCACTTCCTTTAATTCACTTCTAAAGAGTTTGAGTTTGCGGCGTGACGGCTTTACGGTCTGCCAGGACTCTGATTGACGGCGAAGAGACGCCTGGGGTCTGTGTGGACGTGTCCGAGCTAATATCCATCAGACTGAGCGTTGTTTACGGGCACCATCTTTCATTTTAGCGCTTTCTCAGAGGCGTGTGTCGGAGGCTGTCCGTCTTCCCCTGAAGTCAAACATGGACTCCAGTGAGCCAAAGCTCATAAACGCCAAACCGCAGGCCGAGCTGTGTTTACAGCACACACACCGACCCGTTTACAAGTGCAACACTCGGCTGTTAATGAGTGTGTAATCGCCTCCTCCTGCTTTTACAAACTCGAGCAGAAGCTTTGTGTGCCGTCGCTCGTTTACGGTCAGCGGCTCGTTAAAGCGCCGCGTCCGCCCACAGACTGCAGCGAGGCTCCGACGCCGCAGCTGGAACGACTTTCCGGGTCCGAGAGGAACGACTCGGAGACTTCAAAGCAGCGAGGGCCTCCGCGGCTCAGCCCTGACGCTGACCCCACCCCCCCGGCTTCCGACTGTCAGGGGTCAGAGGGCGGCGGGACACCTCCACCCATCCATCAGCATCAGCAGCTGTTTACAGCCTCAGAGCTGCAGATGTGGGTGGAAGAACGAGTGCTGCTCCCCCCCACACACACACACACACACACACACACACACACACACACACACACGCACACACACGCACACACACGCACGCACACACACACACACACACACACACACACACACACACACACACACACACACGCGCACACACACACGCGCACACACACACGCGCACACACACACACACGCACACACGCACACACACAAAATCCGAGCCGCACCGCACAGGAAGTTTCTCTAATAACGCCATCAGACATCAAACGCCCCTAATGGGAAATCTACCTTCACCTCCATGTGGTCCCGGCGTCTCCTCCCAGACTCCGTCCATCATCGTGTCGCCCCTCCCCCCGCCCTGAGTGTACAGTCTGATGTTCGGCGCCACAGAGTGAACAAATGGAGAGCATTAACGTGAGCGTGATTGTGTTCACGACCGCACAGAGAAACGCTCCGTGTGAACGCGGCCTCATCATCATCATCTGTATTAACAGGTTTGATCCATCATCGATGTCTGACTGAGCTCATCGCGTAGGTCAGCGTCAGCAGATGAATCCTGACTCCTTCATCCCGCCAGAGCGTCAACTCTGATGACATCATCAGCTAACTGACCTGTGGCTAACTTACGGCTAGCAGGCTGTTCGTCATCCTCGCTATATGAACCTATAACACGGAGGATCAGGCGGAAACGCAGCCTGGTTTTATGCGAGGGTGGTGAACACGCCATGACCTGCGTCCAATCACAGGAGAGCTTAGAAGGACCCTCAGATAAACTTATTGTACTTCCTGTCCTTGAGCACAGGATGCAGCAGCTCCTTCAAACACATTTTATCCACGTGAAGCCGCTTCGGGATCTGGGGTCAGCGTTCGTTAGGAAACCTTTTGTGATCAGAGGGGCTCCATCACCGGCGGGGCTCTGGGGCTTTGGTCAAAAACAAAGGCCTCTGTGAGGGGAGGCAGCCTCACCCTGCAGTGAAAATATCATCCATTACCTCCGTGACAGGCCCTCCGGGGCCCCGCCCTGTGCGGGGGTCGCCTTTATTGACCTCTCACCCCCTGCCAGCCTCGAGCGTTCAGAAACGGTGCCGCATGTGGCCTCATACATCACACGGCGTCCTTTCTTCCCTGACAGCAATAAGAAGAACAGGGTCAGGTTGGGGCCAAAAACATGGCCGCAGTCACACGCAGACCGGCGTGTAAAACCCAGAGTGGAGCTCAGGCCTGTCCGTCTGTTAGTGACATCACAGCAGCCACGTTACTGGTCACATGATGTCATCGAGAAACAGCACAAACACAAAATGTGTTTACTGAGAACGACGCGAGAAAGTGACACACTGATGAACGTCTTTGTTTCCTGTGATGATGATGATGATGATGATGATGATGATGATGCTGCAGCCGTCATGTAGGACGGCGTCTGGCAGACGTGCTGGGATGTAAATAAACTCCAGTCACAGATCAACACTTTGTTTTTCTCCCAGAAGCACCGAAGCATCAATAATGGATTTTATTTATTCCAGAATGAAGACACACACACACAGACAGACACACAGAGACACACAGACACACACAGACACACATGTTGCTGCTGAGGTTGTGTTTGAGGTCCTGTGTGTGTGTGTGTGTGTCTGTGTGTGTGTGTGTGTGTGTGTGTGTGTGTGTGTGTGTGTGTGTGTGTGTGTCTGTGTGTGTGTGTGTGTGTGTGTGTGTGTGTGTGTGTGTGTGTGTGTGTGTGTGTGTGTGAATATTTACACACACGTATAAACATGTAAACACTTATTCAGTTATTCAGCACGGTCATAAACATCCATGCGAGCTGTGTCTCTGCACACTCACAGGCTCCGTCAGGCTCTGAGTGCTGCCCCTCCCCTCAGCTGGCTTCCACAGGTTGTCCAATCAGAATCCACCCCTGCAGTCTCAGCAGCAATGCAGTTCAGAGGAAGAAGCGTCGTGATGAAGATGAGGAATAGAGATGGGTGGATGTTAGTTACATTTCTTTTGCACAGTTACAGAGTCGTGTTGGCTATGTGTGGGGGCTGACTCCGCCCTCTGACGGGGGCAGCTGTGGTTTCAGAGCTGCGATGAGCGCCGTCTGTCTGTAAACAGCCCGGGGTCTCTGTTCTCCTTTAACTCATCCAGTTTGTGATGAAAACCTTCCCCGGAGACACGTTAGCAGCCTTCCCCCAGAGAACGCCGCTCAAACGTGACGAAACGGCGTGCTGATTGTGGCCAATTAGATGCTGTTTAGGACAATTACCTGCTATCAGATCACAGAGCTCTGGCAGGAGGACGGGACGTTTCCCTGCTCGCCACATGAAGGGAGGAGGTGGTGAAACCTTAAACTGGGTTTTAGTCAAAGCAGGAGGTGCTGAAAGAAACCTGCCAGCTTCTCCTTTCTGCCGCCACAGGACGAAGCCTCCCAGCCTCTATTTACACCTCCGCCGTCGCCCTCAGAGGCGTCTTTAATACCACCGTACATTTATCCACCTTTAAACCCTTGATTAGGGCCCGAGAGACGGCCCAGCTCAGAGGGAAGCTTTATCCCTGTAATCCCGCAGAGCCCCACAGAGTCCCGCAGAGTCCCACAGAGTCCCGCAGAGTCCCGCAGAGTCCCACAGAGCCCCGCAGAGTCCCACAGAGTCCCACAGAGCCCCGCAGAGCCCCACAGAGTCCCGCAGAGCCCCGCAGAGCCCCGCAGAGTCCCACAGAGCCCCGCAGAGCCCCACAGAGTCCCACAGAGCCCCGCAGAGCCCCGCAGAGTCCCGCAGAGCCCCGCAGAGTCCCGCAGAGCCCCGCAGAGTCCCACAGAGTCCCGCAGAGTCCTGCAAAGCTCTGACTCTGCTACAAACCTGCCTGTCACTCAGTCGGCCTCCTCTCTGGATGAAAGTCCGGCTTTACAGAAGTGTCGACTGGTGAAAGTCAGTGACAGTGTGGGGCTCCATCACTATGAGTCTAACCTGGAACTGAGCGTGCTGTCCCTGCTGGTCTGCACATCTGGGTGTCTGCAGACTGGACCGAGGGTGGTGTTAGTGGAGGTGCTGCTCTGTGGGGCCGGGCGGCAGCAGCTGGTTTCAGTCAGCGCACCAACAAACTGAAGACATTATTTACTGTTCATGGCGCTGCTGAACCTCGTTAACATGAACTTTACATGAACCCCCACCCGAGCCCCCGGCGCTTTATTTAAAGTGCTGTTTTCCACAAACGTTGCTTTGAGACATTTGGCACAAGGTGAGCTGCAGACAGCCGGGACACCGTAACGTCTCAGAGACACATTTTTCACTCACAGCATAGAAAACAAAAGAAATATTAAAACTGAAAAAACACCGTCCACACCTGCAGCTGCAGGTTACAGAAACTCAAACTTTACATAACAGTCACTGAATCTTCAGAGGATCTGCAGCTCAAACCCCAGCGGCCGTCTCAGGGATTATTTTCTGTCATTTTTATACGTTTATCTGCAGACGTCATGTGTTTAAATCCAGCTGATCAGCTGTGATCAGAGCGTGTTTCAGTAAAAATCTCTCTCTCTCACACACACACACACACACACACACACACACACACACACACACACACACACACACACACACACACACACAGTCTGATTAACAGTAGTCCCAGGATGCTTCCTTCTCTAATCGGCTCACTGCTTCCTTGTTAATTGCAGCGCACTAATGTTGGCGTGTTTTGTCCCCCTGCAGCACCCGTACCCATCGGAGGAGCAGAAGAAGCAGCTGGCTCAGGACACCGGCCTCACCATCCTGCAGGTCAACAACTGGTGAGTCACCAAGCAGTCGCAGGTATTTATGGGAAGGCTGACCTTTGGCCCCACCCTGAGCCTAATGAGGTGGGTGGGGGTGAATTCCTGCTGAGTTTCCTCGTCTCCACTCTCAGGAGGATGGAGGTGCTTAGTTTGAGAGCTAATTGGAGCTCTGAGGTGGAGACCCGAGGGATGCTCTGCTGGGAGTATGCGTCACCTGCACCTCACCTGTGCTAATGTTGCCAGTAGAGTGAATAAATGTCCGCATCCACGTCTGTTTCTCCAGCACAGCTGCTCTGTGCCCAAATAAACTCGTCACTAACAGTAAAAGTCTGGGTGTCGAGGAGAGAAGGCAAACGCAGGAAACTAGGAGAAGGATGCAAGGAGAGAAGAAGGAAGTGAATTCACTTCAGCTTTATTTACACAGCACCGAATCACAACAACCGTCGCCTCAAGGAGCTTTATACTGTAAGGTCGACCCTACAATAACACATACAGAGAAAAACCCAACAATCATATGGCCCCCTGTGAGCAGCACTTTGGCGACAGTGGGAAGGAAAAACTCCCTTTTAACAGGAAGAAACCTCCAGCAGAACCAGGCTCAGGGAGGGGCGGGGCCATCTGCTGTGATTGGTTGGGGTGAGAGAAGGAAGACAGGATAAAGACATGCTGTGGAAGAGAGACAGAGGTTAATAACAGATATGATTCAATGCAGAGAGGTCTGTTAACACATAGTGAGTGAGAAAGGTGACTGGAAAGGAAACACCCAATGCATCATGGGAATCCCCGGCAGCCTACGTCTATTGCAGCATAACTAAGGGAGGATTCAGGGTCACCTGGTCCAGCCCTAACTATATGCTTTAGCAAAAAGGAAAGTTTGAATCTTAAAAGTAGAGATAGTGTCTCCTGAATCCAGACTGGAAGCTGGTCCCGAGTGAAATGCACGGCCGTGAGGTCACACTGCCTCCGGTCCCGTTACCTTGGCAACAGTTACAGTTTTTTACAGACGCTAGGACACATGTCTCAATACTTAGGTCACGTTTGCAAAAGTCCTCACACAGTGAGCACAACAGAAGTCTATGTGGGCTAAACTGAGGACCAGTTATCATTGTTTTGGCACAAAATGCATTCAATGACTACATCTCTCAAATTTCATGAATCATCTTCTCACTCAGACACAACAACTGCCAAAAATCTTTGTACGTACAGGACATTTTGCATGTGCTTACATACTGTTTTCAAAACTGTTAAACTTATGGCCAAAACAATAACACAATGCAAAACTGAATAAGACAGCAAAATGCAACAGCAATATTTTATTGAAACATATTTTAAATCTAAAAATATAGTTTAACCAGCCACAGCTGATTCTCATTGTAGATGAACATCTACACAGGTGTTACTCCTCAATTTTTCAACTCCTTCAATTCTGGCAGCCAGAAGATTCTTTCCTAGGTGTGTTGCCCTAGATGACATAAGATGTGATGTGGATGAGAACCTGTGGCCAAATGGAGAAGACCGAGTAGATTAGCATTACTACTGTATGTGTATCAGTGGATGGTGTGTATACAAATTCTTGTATTTTGGGATTACTTAGTGCAAAAAACTAAAAATACAGAAACAAATATTAACGAATTCTGCATGATGTCTGATTCATTCCAGTAACATATATTGAAATTATAAACAGAGATGTGTCCTTGTTTTACACAGGAAACACTGTGTAACATGTTGTTAGTGTTTTTAGGTCATTGTTTTGTGGGTGACAAAGTGTGTTTGTCGGCTGTCAACCTTTGCTAGTGTTCTGGAAGAATGAGTTTATTTGAGACCTGAATGAAGTGTTTTGGTAGTTGTAGTGCATTTTGAATGTGAAATGAACTGCTTTGCCAAGCTGACGGTCAGTTAGGAGGATTGTGTGAAGAGTTTTGCAAAAGTGACCTAAGTATTGAGAAATGTGTCCTAGCGTCTGTAAAAAAACTGTAAATCTGACACAGCGAGCGTGAAAGCTTAAGTTTAATAAAAGGGCGTCTTCTCGCCAGGCTCCAGTGAGCCTCACGTCAAAAACAGGAAGTCGAAAATATCCGATTACTGTAGAAAAACAAAACCAGCCCCCACCACCTCCGCCTGTGTCGCCATCCCTCCAGTCAGAGAGGCCACGCCTCACACAGGCGAGTTATGTACACACCCCGCACAGGGTGTGAGTCTGTGGGGCTGGCTCACTGCTGCCTCTGCTGGTCGTCAGAGGAACTGCAGGCCTTCATGTTTCAGCCCGTCGGGTTGGCGTGTGTATTCGTGTTTTATGAAACAAAAGATAGAAACAGGGTCTTCTCTCTGATTTGTGTGTGTGAGGGGTGTGTGTGTGTGTGTGTGTGTGTGTGTGTGTGTGTGTGTGTGTGTGTGTGTGTGGGTGTGTGTGTGTGTGTGTGTGTGTGTGTGTGTGGGGTGTGCAGTTGGTGTAAATGGCATTTTCATGGCAAACAGCTGGACTGGTTTATTTAAATACGCCCTTGGTGGTGGGGTGGGGGGGGCTGACCTCAAAATGACTCCCTCAGTGGGCGGAGCTTCTACATGTTTTACAAGCAGGCGGTTGGGGAGTGTGTGTGTGTGTGTGTGTGGTGATTAATAGATCTGCTTTGTTTAAACACTGACTGTACAGAGCGGCCCGAGCCCCGCCCCTCCCTGCCCCTCCTCGCCGGGCGGTGGGGGTCAGGAGGCCGATCGTCCTTCGAGGCTACGCCCGAAGTTTTCATTATTTCAGAGAAATCCGGTTCTGGTCTCGTTGTTTTCCTCTGGCTTTAAATGTGTTGGAGGCAAGAAACAAAATGGCGGCCTAGTGCTGCAGAAGGATTGTGACCACGGCCTCGCACGCGGTCCCAGATGTAAGACTTTCAGTCGCCCCGGCAGGTCGGTTCTGGAGGTCTGAGGAGCAGGAAGGTGGATGGTGTTTCCTGTCTGAGACTTGGAAACGGCTCCTAGCAGGTTTTTGAGTGCGCCGGTTCCAGCGGCGACATCTTTGTGGTGATAGGGCTCGCGGTTCCTGTGGGAGCGTACGTCTTCTCTGCAGTTGACCTATGCAAAGTGACCATGTGACCTCTGTAAGAGGCCTACCACACCGTTGGACCATTAAACTCCTGGGTCCTCACTCTGTGCTGGGGGCGGGTTTTCAGCACGTCTTTGTCCCTCCTGTCTCTCCCGTCTCGCTCCTGATGGAGGATTTTTCCCTGCAGGACTCAGTAAGATCAGCTTTCATCACTGATCCTTTTCTCAAAGACACGCAGACCTGAATGTTCACTGACACTGGATGACGATCCATTATATAATCAGTTCACGAGAAGGTTAAGCATACTCCTCCTCACCTACACGTTCTTTGTTCTCAGCCTGGCAGGAAGGTGGGGAAGAGGGCGGAGTTATGTAGTCCCGGGCGTGTCCAACAGGTCGAAAGGATGTGATGTTTGCCACTGAAGGTGAAAAGGGTTTTAAATTTGTGCTTTTAACAGTTACATTGATGCTGCGATTATTATTTCATGTGCTGACTCGATGAAAAGTGGAGGACTGGCCCCGCCCACAGTGTTACCTGCTGCAGAAGATACCTGGATACCTGCATTTCCAGCATGTTTCAACATTTCTGAGAGGAGATCATTCGTTTTTTCTTTGGATGTTGACCAAAACCAGATTTACCAAAACGTCCAAATGAAACCGTGACGTCGGAGTGATCTGAGGCTGTCGGCCGAGCTGCGCTGTGCAGTGCGAGCGACGTTTATTTCCTGTTTCGTGTGTCCTGATGAGCTCGTGCAGCCTCGTGCTAACGGGCTGACTGACCTGGAAATATTCTCCCCCCACCGCGTACCTTTTTCGGTCCCCCAGAGGACAGCTGTGGCCTTTGTTTTTCTGAAAAGAACCCCCCCCCCCCCCACCCTCCTGTTGAAATGGTCCCTCCCCACCCGGGGCTCAGGGTGTAGGAGGACATAAATCAAGCAGGAAACCACAGAGCTTTTACTTGGGGGGCTACATAGGTCTTTAAGTTGAGGAAGACCAGAATGGGGGGGAATGACTAATTGGAGTAGCTGGGGAGGTCACAGGAGGTGCCGGGTCGGAGGTCACGCATACCAGGATGATGGCTTTAAGAGTGTATTTAGGAGACGTTGCCAGTGCTCGCCGACGGCTTCCCATTGGTTAATCTCCAGGAAGTGATCTGATTGATTTGTGCTGATCATGTTAAACCGTTTATTTGCACAGTAACAGGTCAGATGGACCCGACTTCTGTAACACGCCTGCATCGGGGCCTCGATGTTCACGTAAATGACGGTAAAATTTAAACCAGTGGACGAGTTTCCAGTGAAGCCAGTTTGAGCTGCTGGGTGTTTAAACTTGACCTGAAGCGATTTATCAGTAACGAGTTTATTGTTGTCGTTAAAAACAAACTCTGACTTCTTTTCTTTGACTTTCAGGTTCATCAACGCGAGGCGGCGGATCGTTCAGCCCATGATCGATCAGTCAAACAGAGCAGGTGAGGTCTCACAGGTGTATTAGCGGCTGTTTCGTTTCCATTAAATCAGAAACTCCTCCAGTATCTGTGCTTTTCCACCGTGTCTGCGTGAGCTTTCCAAACACCCGACTGGGACTGGAACGCCAGTGGAACTCGCTCCGCGTGTAAGGCGAGCTGAAAAAGCGGCGTCTCGCTTGGTTCCTCGGAGCGTTGGAGCGAGCAGAGAGGCTTAAACTCTGAATGGCTTCTAAACCCCGGCGGGGTTAGCTCCAGACAAAGACACTAATCGCTTTGACCGACCACTCCATTCAACGTTTGAAGCCGGGATTAAAACAAATAGGAGCCCCGGCTACAGTGGAGCTAAAGTCCTGTTAGCCTTTTGGCCCTTGAGCTTTCTTAGCATTAACCCCGCGGCTGACTTCCTCACAAAGGTTTGGAGACGCTGCTGAAAGACGGCGGTGAGAAACAGCTTCAGCGACCGAGGCCGATTCCACCACGAGGACCAAAACCTCTCCGTTTGTGTCCGACTGATGGCCCCCCCCACCGCGAGAACGTCACAGCTGCTTTAACAGATGTGACGTTATTCGAACACGTAATGCAGTGATGTGATGTTACATTTCCTTTATGTTTCGCCTCTTTTCCTAATACAGCACGAGTGAAAACAGTCGTATGATATTTGGAAGCAGTGGTTTTCTATCGATTCGTGTTTTTACCCCACAGCAGAGTGAAGGAGGCTTTCATGTGAAGCCAGCTTTTATTAGAAGCAGGCGCTAACCTCCGATTCCACGTGTCCTCGCTGTAATTGGAGCGCGCTTAGCTGCGCACAGGATCGCTGCAGGATCTGCTTCTATTTTGCTCTGTTAGGAGATACAGCGTGACCCGCTGACGCAAACCCGACGCTTCCTGTAACCAGGGGCGCCACTCGTAAAGGGGGAGGCGCTAACGCAGCTGGCCTCAGATGGATGAACTGAGGGGAGGCAGTCAATCACATAAAGGAGGATTATTTTGGACTGTGGATCATGCAGAGTTACTCTGCACAGACTGTAGGTGTAAAAAAAAAAGTGAACATTTTGAGACTAAAGAAGATGGGCGGGAAAAAGATCACGGATGGACCTGATTGGCGCTCAGGTTCTCATGTCGACAACTGTAATCGGCTTGATTTTTCCTGGTGTTTGCGTGTGGACCTGAACACGCCTTTGTGTGTGGGTGTAAAGTGGAGGCTGTGGCGGTGTCAGTGCAGGCCGGCCGACGGCCTCGGCGCCCTCCGCCATTAAAACGAGCTGTCGTCTCTGTCCGCAGTGAGCCAAGCGCCGCCGTACGGCCCAGATGGCCAGCCAATGGGAAGCTTCATGGTGGACGGTCAGACGCCCGTGGGAATCAGACCGCCTGGTAAACACACACAGCTTATGCTGCTGTGGGTTTGATTGTGTTACATTATTGCAGAATCTGCACATTGAAATCAAAGTTTAGATTTAACACAGAGAGGACGGCTTATTGTGAACTGAGCTTCATGCAAAGCTACAGTCACGCTGCAGAGATCAGTCGTGGCTGATTTCATAGTTTCAAAAGCTTTTATTTACAGAGGAGCTGAAGGAAGGGGGCAGTGCTTTCATCTGTGTGTGTGTGTGTGTGTGTGACAGGTCCGATGGGTGGTGTAGGGATGGGGATGGGCGTGGAGGGACAGTGGCACTACATGTAGCACCACCGCCTGCACCCTGCAGCCTGAGGAGGCGCCCGGCGTCGCAGGAAACCACCGTGAGTGACGCCACACAGAGCCAGCACTTCCTGCATTCTCTTCAAATTAAAGGCGTTCTAGTGTTTTCAGTGGACCCTTTGCTGCTTAAAGGGCTTTTAATTTGAAAGAGATCTTTAGACTTTCTTGTAATCTGGATGTTTGAAGTGAATCTGCTGCTATAAAGATGTGACAGAAACACCCACAGCCTCGGCGCTGGCGGCACTCAGCCGATGTCAGTATGTCGCTCGCTTTGGATTGATCCTGAACGGCTCCAACAGCCTGAGCTTCATCTCCTCTCAGCACCTCCTCACTAATTAAAGCCAGTTCCCTCTGATTAAAGGTCAATGAATCCTCTGAGAGCCGCTCCACGTTCAGTCTAATGAACTGATCGTTAGCGAGAGGCGCGCTCATCTCTTTATTTGATTACACAGAGTCCAATTACTCTGTAAGCAGTTTTTATTATTAAGCAGGAGGGAGGGAGGGGGAAGTCAACGAGATTTTCTTCTCTCAGCTTTTACTGACGATGCAGCTGTCAGTGAGACACACACACACGTGTGTATTTATATCCTTGTGGGGACATCTCACTGACATGCTTTTCCTGGCCCCTCACCATCACAAGTGAATGCCTGACCCTAAACATGACCTAACTGTAACTAAAACCACATTTTGAGTGGCCTTCAAACTCGTGGGGACCGCAAAGCTGTTTTTCCCCACAAGTATAGTAAACACACACACACACACACACACACACTGGTTCCTGAGGCTACGTCGGGCCTTCCTCCTGATCTTGACCCTCTGTGTTTCCTCTGCAGGACTCTGATCAGGTCTGCAGACCCCATAGCGTGGAGCGGGACCCCACGCCTCTTCACCTCCTGCCCATCAGCTCTCCGCCCTGTGGGCGTGGCCTGATGAGGAAACACCTGAGCTTGCCTCTGTTCTCGGCGGGCCTTCTCAGAGTGCTCCACGGACTAAAAAGAGAAACGTGAGGTAAGACAGTGATCGTGAAGGCAAAGATGAACACTGTCCACCGCGCGTTTCTGGATTTGATCACTTCCTGTGATGTAATCTCCCAGAACGGACAGATCTGCAGCTCGGCTTCCTCTCTGCACTCGCTGATGGACTCCTGAAGCCGTTTGCTCTGCAGACAGACAATTTTGGACCATAGACCCCCTGAGACCTCCCTCTCCGTAAATAAAACTGATTCTGTGGATTTCTGAGTCTGATTTTTGACTCCTGCTGCGTTCGGTGCCTCACTGAAATAAAATGTCAGCGCTTCAGTTTATTGTCCAGCTCAGCTGTGACACATTTCTATCCAAGAGGAAAAAATAACAAATATTCACTTTGGGAAAAAACTGAAGTAAAAAAATGAATAAATTGAGAATGAGACTTCTTTTAAGGTGGAATGAAAACGTATTTTGAACTGCAGGTGACATTCAGCTCCCGTGTATCAGGTAAACAAAGATGTTTAACTGCACATGTAATCCTGAAATATGATCATGTGATTCCTGCAGCCTCATCATGCAGCTGTTTGTCTGCATGATGAAGGAGACTTGTTTCAAAACGTGAGTGTGTAAAAGGCCGCCTGTTAACAACAACAACAACAACATTGAACGTACATTTCAACAGTTGATGGTCAAAAACAGGAGCTGTCATTTATTCCTGTGTTACTGAATCGCTCGGGTGTCGCGAGGAGTTTTTATCGGCAGGAAAACAGATTAAAGTCCAAAATTTCTGCCTTCCTCCGACGCCTCAGTGAGCCTTATGTTTCACACCCCTACCATAACACACAGTCCCACAGTGTGCTCTGCGACCCCCTGGTGGGCTGTGATGGTACTGCAGGTGATCCCCATCACTTATTCACAATAAATGAATTTAAATTGAACAAGTTAAAATTCTTAATTTTCCTAAATTTAAGTGGAAAGAAATAGAATTTCAAATTTATGCTTTTGTGACGTTTGTTCATGTCGTAGCATAAACACATCAGCTGCTCCACGCTTAGCCTGAATCACACAGACTCACTGGGATTGGCTCCAGAAACTCAAATATTTTTGTCTTTATTGATATTTTAACAGGAACTAGTGACACAAAGGCTCCGGGTTTAAAACCGACTGACTTCCTGCTGTTCTTCATCTCTGCCCTGTTTGGTTTTTAATGCTGAACTCGTTCATTAATGATCCGAATGCATCACAGCGAGACGTCCACAACAAGCTCCAATCAGCCCGATTTATGACTTCATTCAAGTTTCATTCACTATAATGTTTTAAGTTGTGTTTCGGGCGAGCATCACACGGTTTCTGTCTTTAAACTGGTCTCAGATCAGCGTTCAGTGTCCCGGCCCTACTGCGTCGTTTTGGCTCCACGTTTCTCTTTAATCTCGATTTTTTTAAAGTGAAAAGGCTCCAGAAATGAAAATTCATCGTGTTTACAGCTCATCCTGATATTTGAAAGATTAGCTGTGCCGGTGGGCCCCGCCCTTCACCCTATGGGGATAGGCTCCACCCCTCTGTGACCTTGTAGAACTGCTTCTGACCTCGATTAAACGTGAAGTTTGTGCTGTTTGGTTTCTGTGCACAGAGCTCGGGTTGATCTGTTGGTGTCCCGGAGGCGGAGCTTTTCCTTGGCTGCAGTCACAGTGTGAAGCTCCGAGTCTTCGTGTCTTGTTTGCGGGTGTCGCTCAGCTCAAGTCACTCCATTCGAATCGACGCTCCGGGAGGTTCAGTGGCGACGCCTTCAGCAGGCCTGATGGGAAAGATCGGCCCGTCTGCCATGGAGAGATTTGTCCCCCTCGTGGATCTGCTGCCCCACTCGGGGAGTTTTCTACATGTGCCTCATTTCAAAGGCGGCTGACACAAAAACAAAATCATTAATCTGCTTTGGATCCTCTGCGGAGCTTTGACTTCAGATGAGTTGTGACTGACAGGCTCCATGGCACGCCCATGTTTGACTGCCATCTTAGGGGATTGTGGAAACTGCCTTCATCTCTGCTTTTAAAGAGAAATGAGTGATTAGTTGGCAGCTGTCGAGCGTCCGTCTGAGGATCCAGACTCGCTGTCAGATGCACAAAGAAGAGCCGGGACGCGACGAGCTGACGGCTGCTGGGAGCGTAGCTGGGAACAACGGCGAGAGGTTTATTGTTTATCGGTGACATTTCCCACAGACGAAGCAGACAGTGAATGCATCATGTCAGATGTGTGACAGACAATGTTCAGAAAGTTCAGAGTTCACGTTCGTGGTGACGGCCAAAGTCAGCAGGGAGGTGACTGCGCTAGCTCCACCCGAGCTGGACCTCTGGGCCGTGTTTGTGCTGTTGGAGCCTTTTAATGACATCATGTGACCAATCATATAGCTGCCGTGAGGTCACTGTACTAACAGACCGTCCAAGAAAGCAGAGCTCCGGGATTGGTGTAGACTTAGATAGTAGGATTCTGATTGGATGTTACTGATTTGGCCGGTATCTGTGTCTGTGGATGATAACAGAGCTTCCTGGCATTAACTGTGCCAACCTTTGGTCCAAATATGGTCACCAAAGACTGATGTCACAGCTACCACCATCACTTACATACAGTCTATAGTTCTGGTATGTGTGAGCACACAAACATAAATACGTCCTGTGCTCAGATGGGAACGAACCGGAGCACTAACAAGGTTCCTCCAAACACAGTCGCCTCGGGCTTCAGTCCGAGGAGACGTGAATCTTCCTCCCTCAGCAGCCTCCCCCACACTAAAACCCTCCCCCCTCCTTCCAGCCTCCTCTGAGCGAGCCGACCTCACAGTTGGATAATTTATTGCCTTTAATTAAGCGGCTGCTTCAGGAGGGATGAAATGCGTTCCTCTGTGTTTGGGGCAAAAGGGGGAAGGTATTCAGTGTCTCGCAGAGGAACCAGAAACTCGTGGATCCTGGTTACTGTGGGGAGGAAGTGGGGAGGGAGGGGTCAGTTTACCCCGACTGGACAGGAAGTCGCTTATTAGAGACAACCGACCGTTCACCTGAGAGCGCGCTCAGAGTTAGAGCACACATCCTGCAGTCTGTGAGGTCAAAGGTCATTGACACAGCTGAAAATACTCATAAAAAGTAACTAAAAATTCTGCTGATTAACTCATAAAATAAAAGTATCCATTTTAAACAAAGTCTGCTGTCAGGCCCACCTGATGGGTGTGGAGGCGGAGCCACTAAATCGTACGCACCGTACCTTTAAATCCTTAAAAAGAAAGTAGTCCCGGGACGGCACATACGCTAAAACGCAGAACAAAAAGTGTTTTTTCCCCGAGCAGAGAAGCGCTCAGATCCACCTGTGCTGAGGTTCTGCTCTGTGGTCCGTTACAGTCAGAGACGAGCAGGAAGCAGGTGAGGGTTTAGGGGCGGGGCTACGCGGTGATGGATAAGTCATTATGTATGGGTGTGGCGGATCCACCTGCTCTTCGAGTCAGCCGGAGGTCGCTCGGACTCGGGTGATGTCATCTTTTCAGACCGCCCCGACGCAGCTGGATGACATCAGCGACCACAGTCGAGCTCGAGTTTTCACCTTTAATACCGAGATGTTCACGCTGAGGGAAAGCCGCCATCTTTGATGAACCTCTGGGTTTATTTCCAGGCTTTATTCCCCCCTCACGTCTCCTTCTTGAGCCTGCTGGAACTTTATGGGCCAACTTTAAACTTTTTAGCTTAACTGGAGCGAAACAGGACGTTTCCCAAAGCGCTTCATTAAACTGTCGTTTTCCAAAACAAGAATCACGTTGTTTCTCAGAGTGACTGGAGGGAAGCAGAAGGAGAGGACGCGACGCTCTTCACCGTCAGACCCACAGTCCTCTGCTTCTCACTGTTCGGGCAGAACAGGAAGACGTTTGGACCGACAGCATAGCGACGGCGCCTTCTCCAGCTTCTTGTATTTCAGTCTTCGATGGACGTAACAAAAGTTCGACTGAACCCTTCAATGACCGTGTCTGTTCCACGAGTCCCACGGCTCGATTTCCATTCATGTTTCCAGGTCCCTGTGACCTGACGTAGCTCCTCCGGTCTGAGGGCGCAGCTGGAGGATGTGGTGGCGTCAGGTTTTCATGTCCTGACTCAGGTCAGCCAGTTACAGCCGAGGCAGAACGAGCTCAGGGCTTCCCACAGGTCCGTCCAACATTCCCTGTTTCTGGAGCAGCGCCGGATGTTCGGCATGAAGACTTTGGCTCAAAGGAGGCCTCGAGACAGGGTCAGTCGGCGAGGAAAGAAGCCTCGTTGCTTGGTTTCGTGTTCTGTTGGCGCTCGCAGAACTGGAAGCACACGCTCAGGCTCTGCTCTCGGGGAGTCTCGGCCCCTGAGAGCAGAGCCCAGCCAGCTCTCACAGACCTAGAGTCCAGGACTCTGCACTGCGTCATGGTCTCGTGGCTTAGAGCAGCCTTTTACTCCACGAAGGGTGTGCTCGTTGCTCAGGTGGTCCCTGTTATCAACCACCAGGAGCACCTGTCCTCTGACCACCAGGTATGATGGATGTGTTTACTGTGGAACAATGAGCAGCACACACAAATGTCAAAATGAAACAGGAAACATAAAGATGCAGAAACGGGAGACGTAACTAAGGAACAGAGGACACGACGGCCTGGAGAGACATGGAACGAAACAGGAAGGGGACACGAGACCTCGACAAGACAACACGGAGACAGAAACATGACGAAAACCCCACAAACATCATCCCTGTCACAGCATCTTACAAACACTGGGAACGATTTACCTGCTGAGGGCTCAGGTGACTGCGTCTGGTATGAACATCTGTCTCAGCATCTGCATGCAGAAAAGAGGAACCGGAGCGTCTCCTACAGAGCACACCGAAACCCACAGAACCCGACCTCTGACCTCTGCCGGGTCAGCTCACAGCAGAGCAGCGGTTCGTCGTGTCTGCGGCGCTGGTCCGGTTCTGTTGGGTTTTACATGAATCGCGCCCGCTGAGCTGCATCTGTCTGCGGTCGCTTTGATATTTTGATGTCAGTTTTCAAAGGAAAGCATGAAGAAATCTTTTTCTTATTGTTGGGAAGAACACAAAGTTCCACGCTGCCCCCGGGAATGTCTAAAATCTCGTCTTCTGTTTGCGTGGACACATCAGACAGGAAATGCCAAATCCATACTCATAAATCCACACCCTGAACTCTGAGGGTACAGGCGACGGCCGGCAGGCCCAGCAGCAGGTCTGCGCCTGCAGCTGAGAGCTGCTGGTCGTGTTAAAGAAGCACCAGGTTCTCTGAGCGTCGGCCTGCCGACCTTCAGCTCGCAGACCTGTGAGCTTTGGATCAGTCTGTCCAAA